GGCCCGGCGCGGAGGAGCCGCCGGGAGGGGCGGGGCGGGGCGGGGCGGCCTGAGGTAAAGTCGCTTCTCTCTTGTGCGCGCGGTTAAATGCGGCAACGCCGGAGGGACGAGGGAGGCGGCGACGACGACCTGACACCGGCAAAGCCGGAGAGAAAAGGAGAGGGGGGGAGGGAAGCATTAGGAGGACAAAAGGGAGATTGTCACGGTTCGGAGGGCCTGTAGGTAGATTTCACCCCCGATGCTGGGGAAGGTCTTTATGACAGAGGTTCGCGGCCCTGGAAGCGAGGGCGGACGTTTGGTTCCTGCCAGGCCGCGCAGGTTGTGCTCGGCGGGGCGAGGGCCGCGACCGCTGAGCTTCCGATGCAGATCGGGAGAAGGGAAAACAGGCCCAAAGGGGGGAAGTGGAGCAGCAGGCGCTGGGCTGAGTAACGCAGCGGGAGAAGGGACGGGGACGGGACAGTAACTGGGTTCCTATTTCAAGGCATCCTTCACGGATGTTGGAGAAGATGTGCAGCCTGGGAGCCACCGGCTGCCAGCTCCCACCTGAACCCGTCGGGCAGCGTCGCCTTTTAACCGTGCCGTTCTGGAGACACCTGAATTCAACTGAAGTTGGATTCCCCACATCACAAAATCCCTGTTCCAGAAAGTTAACTTTGTACTCAAGAAACATATTTCACGTTGGCCTGGGCGTGAGAAGCAGTGTTAGGTTGCTCTTCCTTGAACTCAGCAGTCTTAGCATAGAAAGCTGCAAAAGCCTACGTTGTTCTTACTTACCTTAATTATTTTGCATTTTCATTGGTGAAAGCCTTGCCCTTTCCAAGTGTTTGAGTATAGATTCCTGCTCAGGACTCAAGGTTTAATTTTCACGGAATAAAATTTTCTGTATATTGTATCTATTTTTAAACATGTTTGTGTATAATACAGAGACTGAATGCAGAAACTCAAACTGTAATACTGGTTTGTTTAGTCCAAGCTTTTTTAGCTGATACAAGTGCCAAGAGCTTTAGTATCTAGTGGTAATAATAATAAGGTCATTAGCTGAATGGTAGTTCCCAGGTGGTAGATCTTGGTCCTTTTAAGTTGATCCCAGTAGAGGATTATTGGTCCAAGTAATAGTAAAGAGACACATTTCTCAGAGATTGTTAAAACAGTTGTTTTATGAACAGGATGAACTGAGGGTCTATCCTGGAGGGATTAGAGGAGGAAGCATTTTTAAATGGCTACCCGCCCTTTTGTTTGCTCAGCTGGAAGGTGAATGGAGAGGCTGAGGGCCAGGGGAAATGAGATTAATCAAGTAGGCAGCTACCCATGGAAAAAAATACCACAGCCAGGGTGAGAAAAGCCAAGTTAAGTGCCTGGTTTGAGAGACTGTTTCACTGTCCGTTGTGCACAGCCTGGATCGTCTCCCATGGAAAATCCCTCAGGGGGTTTTCTGTAAGAGTTCAGGGAAGAGGAAAGCACTGTGAGGTCTTCCCAGGAGCAAAACTCACTGTTGTAGGACACAGGTTCTAGTCCTCTGAACTGCAGCCTCTGTAATGCGGTCCTAAGTTATGTTGCCTATGTTAACATCTCTGTGACTTGCAAGAAGGAACTCTTTACCTTGCTTTTTAGCCTTTCTCCTGTGCAGATTGGAGAAAATGGGAAGAAGGGAAACAGAGCGCTGCTTCTGCCCATGTGGAAGTGAGATGTCTAGAAGGAATGATCCTCATTAGACGGCTGTTCTGCAGTTGCGTGGTAAAGGTTCATCTCAGTTCAACTGCTGTTACTACCTGTGCAGGGAAGTAGCACCAGTATTTACAGCGAGTTTCAGCTTATGTGCTGAACTGCATAAACACAGCAAAATAGAACAAAAGATGGAGAGAATAAAGTGTCCCAAATAACATGACTCCTGAGAGTCACGATTGATTGATTTTTCTGTAGCCTAACTTGGAACACCTATCACCAAGTCTTTTTTTGAAGAAATATTGATGATCTTTATTTACAGTGTGGGAGTGCTAAGTTTTGGAATACTATAATCCGTTTATGGATAACACACAGTTCAAGAATGATGAACAAGTTAGCTGAAATTCAGCAAGTGCTGGAACAAACATGCTCTTCTTTATGGAAATATGGACAGCAGATAATTTAGATACAAATGCTCAGGAGCAAAAATTGATTTAACCTTTCTCAGTCAAGGAGCAGAAGTAAGGAGCAGTTGTGGGACTGAGGAAAATTACATAATTTTAGGCTTTTTTAGCCCTGGGGCCAAATACAGGTGTGTGAGAAAATCCTTAATAGCCACATTTTGAGCATGAGTAATCACTATCCAACAGCGCCTTCTGCAAGTTTCATCTTAGGACTTTGCTGTTGTTTCTCTTGGGAAATTGCTGATACAAAGTCCTATTTGCAGTGCACAGTAGTACTGCTTTTCTCTAAGAATGCCGTTAGACAGTAGACCATGCTTTGCCTTTTGATTAGAGTTTATTTTGTATCACTTTCTTGAATATTTTGATCAGTGTTCATGTGAGCTAAGTACATAACAAAATTATCTTTTTATTTCTTACGTGATAGACTTTCCCATGTTCCTCCCTTAGGACATTATTTCAAGAGCTATTATTAGATACCACTTTCAGACAGACTGTTTTCTGTCACATATCTAAAGTTAATTATAATTTATTCTAAAATAGCATGCCTGGAATTGCCGTGTAATTTAGTGTTATTTCTATGGCAAATGTCTTGGAGACCATAAAAAAGCAAATTATTAGAACAGCAATGGAGAAGAAAATTGGGTACGCTAACAAAAAAGAATAAACTACATGAAGAAGAGACAACGCAAGGCAAGGCATGACACACAAGTATTTGTCTTCATATAGCATAGCTAAAATGAAAGACAGGCATTCGGATAGATAAGTAACATATTCCAGCACAGATTTTTTTAATCGCTTACACCAGTTACAGGGAACACTGCAATGGACACCTATGTCTTAATTTCTAGTATTTCTCTTTTATTGATGCCAATTACTACTAAGCTGATGTATTCTAGTCACATAACATACTGCGAGAGATGGCTATGAAGTACAGCTGGCTGAATTTTTTCAGGTGGAAAATTTTCCTGTCGGAAATATTTAAGTTTGTCCAAAATTAACTACAGCTTTTGAAAACTGAGAAAATACTTTGTTACATAAATCATTTTCCATGGTCTTTTTCTCACTTTGTCCATTTCAGTTACTGCATATCACTCCTCCTTCCTTTCATTGGGAAACGGGGGAAAGGAGACTTTATAAAGTATGACTGTGAGGGGAAAAAATGTACTTGTACAGTTTTTGTTCCTACGTGGAAATTTTTAGGGGAAAAAAGATCAAGCCACACATACAAAATAAAACACTGCCAAAATAACAGGAAAAGGGGTGTGAATATTTTGAATGAAATGAATCAAAAGGAAAAGTTTTAAAATCAAAATAATGCATCTTTGTAATAGAATTGTTTTATTTCTCTTAACTTAAAGAATTCCTCCATTAACCTCCCTTCTCTTTAAACAAAAAACAAAACTACACATACGTTAAAGGCAATCCTACATATCCTTATACCCATCAACGTATTGTTTTAAATTTGGGAAGCAACTATCAGACTATTGCAGCTTGCCTACCCACCACACACCTTTACAGCATATTGTAACCTTGGTAATGTTCACTTTAACCTATTTTCTTTTTAATCCACTGGTCCCTGATTCTTTTGAAAATTTTCACATACCTCAAATTATAGATTATTGCTTCCACTTCATCTTGTTTTCCTTTGTTTCTTCCAAGTTCTAGTGCTTGAGCTGGAGTGGTGAGGCCGTAATTCATCAGGGTTCTTAAGCACATTTCTGCACATGCAAATAGCCCAAAGTGTTTAAAGAGCTTGCTAAACAGGAATGAAATAAAGTGTGTTAAGTGGAACCAAAGTCTCAGCACGTAAGTCTCCATTCTGTGGCGCAGATATTTCCTGAACAGAATTATGGGTTTTACATTATGGAGAGAAGAACTTCTTATCTATTCAAAAATTTCAAATGTCTAAACGCAAAGACTTAAAGTCTCTCCCAAAAACTTTAGTATGTAACTCACAGAATCTCACGTTGTAGAGTTTCAGCACGAAATGCTGCTGATCTCAACAAGGTGTTATGAGGGCCTTTTGGCAGTCTCTACTGAATACACGTACACAGGGAACCATCAGTTAAGTAAAAACTTTACATTCCTCAGCTGAGCCTTGCAAACCAGTAACACTGTGATCACCATATTTCAAAGTCCTCTTTTTCTTTAGTTGACACATAGCTTGTTTCAATGTGACTGTCTTAAAGATAAATCTCTGTCATCAGTGAATGCGTATGAATTGTAAAATAAGATGGGCCACATTCATCTCAGCCCCATTCTGCCGAAAACCGAAGAACATCCCAGATGTATTTCAATGTTACCTGCAGGATTGGGAGGGTGGGTTGTTTTGTTTTGTTTCATTTTGTGAGAGCTACATTGCCCCGTTCTTGTTTATCCGATGCAAGTTAATAGTTCTTTACTTGAAA